CCAATAAAACTCTGTAATTAGATCCAATAACACTACTATAACCCCATGATAATATTTAAATGACACTTCACAGCCATTATATGCTAATAATACAGACAAAAAACATTATGATAATACCTAAATAATACTACGTCCCTCACTAATATAACAACAACGTTACAAGCAACTAATACAGTGATAACACCACAAAAACACCCTTAGGACGACAAGAATAACACTCCAATAAAACCAAAAAATTTAATCCATTAATATTATAAATCATAAGATAATACAAAGTAACACTGTGTAAAAACTATCACAACATTGCAATAACAAATAAAAACAACAAGAAAGTTCACACAAGTAACAATACCACAGTAAAACCAATCAAACCTAGCTGCAGAATAATTTCGATTGCGACTAAACTCACCTGATGAATACACAACTAATAAGCTCACCACATTGACATCGTTATCACAAATATTTTGAAATTTCATTAACATTTTATGTTCGAGAGAGAATTCTATCAGGTCGCTAACCTTGGTTGTCGAATACGAACGCAAATAAAAAAAACACGTAAAAAAAAAACCTAAACAGTGAACCTGAAGGAGACAAAATAGGTTTTTTTTTTTCCAATTTAGCGGGATTCGAAATAACAAAACGGAGATAATATGTGAATTGTTGGTATCCGAAAATGACAAAAAAATGCTTTTTTGGAGGCTTGGGTGAGACTCATGCCGGGTCGTGCACTAAAAAAATTACATTTTTTAATTTTTTTTTGTGTTAGGCTTCGCATTTCAAAGCTGTGAGTTTTAATTTGACACCGCACACAATTTTTGCATGTGGTGTCCGGACCAAATAATTTTTCTACATAGCTTAAGATGTCCTTATGCAAAAATTAAAGTTTAAATACGGGAAAAATAAATACATAATAATTGAATGTCATATATGTAATATTGGCTATTATTTTTTATATATTTATATATTTAAAATTTTGGAATAATTATCTATATATAACTAAAAATATTATTATTTATAAATTTAATAGTCAGCTCATTTTTCTAAGGACCGTTTATATGCATAAGACACAAATCTTATGTATTTATATATTTAACGTCTACATTTCCATATTACATACATAACATTTAAATATTTGATATCATATCAAGAATATAATCGTTTATTTTAAAGAGAAATACAATTTTTCATGTATACACAACAAGAATTTAACATATTTCCGTCAAATATATCCGATATAAATCGGACCCAAATCCAATAATATTTAAAGGTTAGTGTCGGATTTGCATCTAATTTTTGTCTGATTTTTTCCGATATTAAATCGGGTGTCGTTAAATTTATTCCCATCAAATTTACCTTGAAATATTCCGACGCAAATTAATTATGTATGTTGTTGCGTCAAATTTATTTATACATAACATGCGTCGAAATTGGCGTTTAAAAATATCCAACGATGAATTTTAGCATTGGATTACCTTATCATTTGTGTTCTAAAATATCATAGAACGATGAAAAATTATTGTAGATGTAGCGTCGGATTTTGCGTTTGAAAACGGATTCAGATGCGACGCAGACCTGAAACATAGAAAAAAAATTTAAATTTCAATTACATTTTCACAACCTGCACAAAAACGCATTCTACATCACAAATCACATTAAACATAGTCATATCACAGATCAAATCTCTAAACAATATCATCAATAAAAGAAAGATACTGCCACAAATCATCTAAAATAAGAATGGTAAAGTTAATTCAAAAAATTTCACAATAAATGTTTAACATAATGATTATAAATCAAAGAAAATATTAAAAAAATATTCAAAATTTTCAGCCTCCTCTTCATCCTCCTCATGCACGGATGGCATCAGATACTTGCCTCGACAATCTACTAAGTTCTCTGCTACGTGCGCTATAGAGACTTCCACTTAATGTTGGCCTTGTAGCGTATGCTCGCGCAACTAGCGAATCTCTTCGTTCATTACAACCACTTGCTTGACAAGAGCCTTCTAGTCTAGCTATGAAGAGCTTGAGGAACTAAGATAAGATTTTTAATTTGTAGCAACCCGTCGGGAATGCTCTGAGACCCACTTCTTGTAGCGTATGCTCGCACAACTAGTGAATATCTTCGTTCATTACAACTACTTGCTTGACAAGAGCCTTCTAGTCTGGCTATGAAGAGCTTGAGGAACTAAGAACAAGACCACGGTAGAGCTCGACCTCGAAGGTTATGCTCTTCGCTCCAAAGCTATAAATCCTTCCCTTATTCCTCCATATCGCCTGAGTCCAAAGCTCATACTCGGAACTGCGTAGGTCTTGACTGACTACCACTGTTGTCGGCCCTTATTCCTAGATAATGTAAACCAGTGTTTAATTGACACTTTCAACAATTAGAGTAAAAATAAACTTTTAATTTAAGATTTTTAATTTGTAGCAACCCGTCGGGAATGCTCTGAGACCCACTGTGCAGTTCCTGGGAGCTGATGAGTTCTGGCATACAACTCCGCAATGACGACTCCTTGGCCTATATAACGTACAAAAAAGGTTAGTGCTAAATAATTAATTCAAAAATTAATTAATGTTTAAATATCTAAAAAATCTTATCAACCTCCAGCAGTGCTTCTTATGCGTGACTGATCTGCCAATATGAAACGTAACTCCCCTGGCCATCTTCATCACCTGATTTGCCCGATTCGTTCGCCTCATCGTCTCATAATCAAGAGAGACCCAAGCTGCATGCAACTGACCTTAGAGCCCCTCACCAATCCAGGCCGGCTGCTTGTCCCTTCGGCTGGTTGTTATGGACCTGTTGGCAAGGGGATGCCTGCCCTGAAACTCAAAGATTTGACGATTCTGGTGGTTGTGCTCTGGGAGACAAGTGAGGGACCTCTGCAACGTAAAAAAATAATTCAAATGTTAGTATAAAAAAAATAATCAAATTTACAAATATGATTCAAATTACATGGTCATACCTTAAACTCCCTGAACCATATGTCTCAAGTGGCTACTGTTACCTGCATTCACGACAGATAGGGCTCATCGTACATGCTCCTAATAATCTTTAAAATGCAGGTGATGGGCGGCTTATAGGGAATGAACCTGCTTAAGAAGCAAATTAGTTTCCAAAAAAATATATAACATGAAGAATAAATATAATGCACTATTAAAAATAACTTATGAGTCCCCTTTGACAGTAGACGTACCCTGGGGGTGTGCAAGAATTGACGGAGCTGGCTTAAGAGCTGTGTCAGCAGGTAGAATAGTAGGTGCAGAAGCAGCATACTTCATAAGTGTCAGAGTAGCATCAGGTGCTCGAGCAGGAGCCATAGGAGGGGTGGCAACAACGGGTGCGGGAGGAGGTGACAAAAGAAGTTTTGTAGCAGACGATAGAGGAGGAGGTGCCATAGGAGGTGTAGCATCAGCAGATGGGAAGATGGTGTCAGAGGAGATGCGACAGTAGATGAAGCATGTTGACTTGATTTTTTGTGAGGTCTGCTTCCCTCTCTAAAGCCTATGATCTATCCATATAACTTCCTTACCAACTCTCCTAAAATATTAGTATTGGAACCCACACCACTTAGAAATTCAAACTGCATATTGACTCATTGTAGTCTCATATGTATGGTTTTAAATCATTATTATTTAGTTGAGTCGATCATAACCAACATATTGAAACTCAAGGGAAGTTCTCGTATGAAATGGAGAAGCCATTTGGACTTAGTAATTTAAAATTTTGAAATATCACAGTTCACATCACACCCACATTCACACTTACATACACTTCATTATTGATTCAAAATTAAAATCCAATTTCAAAAGAATCAATCACAAATCAAAATTAATAATAAAGCAAATTTGATTCATTTTTAACATTTATTTGAGACCTTTCGGCGTGTTGTTGACCTCACTTTTGGTTGAGGTCTTCAGACTTGAGCTCTCACTTGGGCAAAATTCGATCAATATTTTACTTATCAAAAGACTCCAATCGAACCAAAATCTCATTCACCTTGCCGAGCACGAAACTGGCTTAAATTTGCTCGTCCATCAGTGAATTTCTCTAAACGTGAATTTCACTAAACAACATCGAATGACAAAACAGACTGACCAAATCCATCCGAAACGTCGATTTTACTTATAGAGCAAACTCATTTTACTATGGTTTAGTGCACGAATTAGCAACGCAAATTTGATTCATTTTTAACATTTATTTGAGACCCTTCGGCGTGTGTTGAGATGCATATTGTCAAGATCGTTCTGTCAGACTTGAGCTCTCACTTGGGCAAAATTCGATCAACATTTTACTTGTCAAAAGACTCCAGTCGAACCAAAATCTCATTCACCTTGCCGAGCACGAAACTGGCTTAAATTTGCTCGTCCATCAGTGAATTTCTCTAAACAACATCGGATGGCGAAACAGACTGACCGAATGCATCCGAAACGTCGATTTTACTTATAGAAAAATCTCATTTTACTATGGTTTAGTGCACGAATTAGCAACGAATAAATTAGGGTTTTTAAATATTAAAAATAAATAAATAAAATAAAATAATGCCTTTATAAAGGCACGCTCACCCCCATCCCGAACGGATCGCGCGTGCCCTAGCTCCCTCTTGGCGAGAACCACCGGCTCTATCCCTCTTTCGCGCAAAGCACCCCCCCCGCCGAACGCACCCACCGCCGACGTTCTCCCCCGCTGCCAGAGCTCCTACCCGAGTGTTTTCGCGGGGGGACTTTGGCCTTTCCCCCCCCTCGGCTGTTTGCTCGCACGGTTCTTAGACCCTCGCCGGCGACGTCACGCCGGCCTCCCTAGACACCGGCATATTTCTTCCCGAGAAGAGCAGCAAGCTTAACACTGGTAAAGCTGTGGCAATTGGTCCTGGAATTCGAGATAGAGACGGGAAACAAATACCTATTTCTTTGAAGGAAGGAAATGTTGTTCTTCTGCCTGACTATGGTGGAACTGAAGTGAAACTTGAAGGTAAAGAGTATGTCTTTTCTTTGTTTCCTCATTTATTTTTTTGCTTGTCTATTGGTTTTCAAATTCAATTGCCATTTGATTTGAATCATATTATTATGTTTAGCATGAGTTTGATATATTGATTTTTGCCACGGTGTTGCACTTATACTCTTTTTTAACCTTTTTATGGATATAAGTTTATCTATAACATTTCAATTAATTTCAAAGAGGGTGTAAAGCAGATTATATGTATATCTATGTGAGGTAAATTATAGACCAAATTTAACTCATGGATCTGGTGATTATTTAGTTTACAAAACATCAGGATGGACTCAAACTTGGGACCATTATATTGGAAACTAGTGACCATCCACTTAAGCTAGGCTCTTTGGTCTTAGTTGGGTGTGACAAGCTAATGTAGACAGGAGGAAATGAAGAAAGAAACATTGCTCACATTTATCCGTTCCAATCGAGCAAGCGTCTGTTTGCTCACTTATGGAGCCCTCTGCAAGTTCCAGGAAGCTTCATACTCAGTACTTAAGGAAATATCTTACTTATAATTTTTTTGGTCAGGTTATAAAGATTTTAAAACAAGTTTACTTATTGCTTTTCATGCAATAAGACTGTTAACCAGTTACAAGAAGGGAAAGTATTCCAAGGGATTATTGTAACGTACATAATACTCATTTCCTATCTATTTACATATCCAATGCCTAAACTTCAATTTTTACATTCATGCTACCTTATCAAAATGTGATTTCCTTTTTTATGTGATGTGAAATATTTGGGTGGTATAAATGTAAACTGTAATGTTCTGGTGTTAGATATGTAAATATATAGGAATTGGATTGTAAGTACATGCTCTTTATTATAGCTATCTGTTGAAATCCTCATTACAGATACTTTCAATGAACTTAATAAGCACCATTGTCTCTCTTTCCTCATCTTTCACATTATCCATTATTTTTCATTACCGGTTTTAAATTCTTATGTATTCACGCATCTAACATCTAAATTTTTTATTTTTACCTTTTTACATTTATACCACCTAAATCTCTCATATCACATAAAAAATGCCATTAAGAGTTAAATTCTCATTTTCATGTGTAGCTAAGGGGTCATATATGTAAAGTTTAAAGTTTAGGTGTGAGATATGTACATACACGTAAGAATTACATGCTACTTGTTCGATGAAACGCTTATAAAGAATGCTATGGCTCTCAATACTGCTTGCATACACTTCCATAATTTGAGCTTTCATGAGAACTTCAGTTTCACATGTGTTGGAAAGATCATGAATCATCTCTCATATTAATATTTCATTTCAATCATCTATTTTGCCTTCAAAAAGGTAAATAAAGCAGGGAGTATTTACATATATACCACGGGACTCATATGTTTTCATGTATCTAGCATCCAAACTTCATTCTGTTACATATGTACACCTTACTTATGCATGATCGTCTGTTTTGAATTGCGGCTTGTGTGTGCCTTGAAGTATTTGACACTTGCATGTTGCCTCGACCGACCGCCCCAGCCTGATTGACATCACTTTCACTTAGACCGGCTGCCTCGGCCCTGTCAGCATCACCTTTGACTCGATCAGCCATCCCGACCTGGTCAACATCTCTTTCTGCCTCGACTGGCTCTCCGGTTTGATCGACATCACTTTCTGCCTCGACTGACCACTCTAGCTCGATCGGAATATCAATTTGGTTTGACGGGCCGCCCCGACCTAGTCATCTGATCGCTTAGGTCTGACCGACCGTCTCAGCTAGGTCAATCGATTACTTGCATAGTGCATGTTATGCATGTGCATTAGTGTCTGATTGTTTGCTTACATGATGCATTATACCCTGTATGTGCTTGTCATTTGCATGTGTGATTGATCTTTACTGGGGCAAGGTGTGATTCTCCTCGGTGGCGTCCTATACTCTATGCGATTGCGCACAAGACATCTCCTGCTATATGTCTTGTATGACATCTTGTATAATTTTTCTCACATGCTTGAGTTGCATTTGGAGTGTCCATTCATACACTTTTCCCACTTGTATGATTTTACCTTGTGAGGATCATCACTCATTCAGGTTAGTTACTTAACGACACACTCATCTTTCGGATCACTGCCTTCACGACATGCCCCCCTCCTCTGGGTCACTGCCTCCACGACACACCCATCCGTTAGGTTACTGCCTCCATGACATACCCACATTTTCAAGTCACTGTTTTAACACTTATGAGTTGGTTCAAGAGTTTTAAAATATATGTCATGTCACATCATATGCATAGTTACTTTCATTTTTTTATTTATTATTATGAAATTTATGTGTGTGTGCTTGCTTAACACTGTCTTGTTTCCAAATTCTCATATAAATTTCTTTATGTCCTTTTGCGAAGTAAACTCGGTTGTAGCGAGACATTAGTTGATCGTAAAAGCTAATCTGAGGCGGACGAAATGGACGACATTAAACTTCGTGTCAGTGAGATCTTTCCTAAACACTATCAAAATTTTCGCTAAAATCTTCATTCAACCTTCAAATTATCTTACCTAAAACCTAAAAAATTACATATTTTTTCAACAAAAGAATTCATAAAAAAATTATATAATAATTAATATTTCTAAAAATAATAGTAATTGAGTTCGTAAGAGCCACTTTCACTTTCTCGAGTGATTTAGGGATTTTATAAGCTCTAGCAAACTAAAGCCGTGACGTGTGTCCTCAAAAGGCACGTAGACGAGTTTATTTTAATATATATATATATATATATATAAAACAAAATATAAAAAAGTAAAAAATAACATAATTATAATAATCCACTATTTGGATTTATGAAGATTTCTTGGATAGGTAACTCATGGTTGTTAACAAGAATCCTCCAATCTAAAGAAGTTTAAAAGCTTTTTTGACTAAGTAAACTAAAAAAAAACAACGGTGCCTGAACGACGGAATCATTGGATCTTGACCTGCGTCGCTTAACATAAAATAAAGTCTCATCTTTTTAATCCCTTTAATAATAATAATCATCATTTCAAAATACACTTCACAGGATCACCACAAACAAGCAACAAAAACCCAAGATAGGCTTCCTGAGGCATGGCTTAATTTTCCCCTTTTCTTTTCGTAGAATTAGGTGAGGATGCGATCGAGCATCTGTCAACCTTCAACGCGCTCAAGACTAAACATGAAGCGAATGATGAACCTCAACTAAACTTTCCATAAATTTAATTGACATAAACTTCTATGACTTCGAGGTCGTTCGTCTAGCATGATGTAAATCCTCAAATTATCTTATAGGTTTTCGCATGATTGTATATCGTGTGATATAAACCCTAACTCTTTTTAACATCTCGATGAAGTTATTAGGTACAACGTAAATTCTCCCATCTTCTTAGACTATTTGCGTGATTGTATGTCTGCAAATGTAAGTCCTAAATTTGAAATAAATTGCCGTAGTAAAACATTAAATAACACCGCTTCTAAAATATAAAGTCAAATTATAGGATAGTTTGCGAAGTTATTGAGGTTTTCTCAGTATCTATAACATCTACCTTTAGCTCCTTAGGATTCTAAAAATAATTCTTCTACATTGGGTCTTTCCCAGTTAATTTTTTCATGAACAATAGTGAAAACTAAACTTTAAATTGTTGAAGATAAAATTTAAATCTTAATCGAGAGTTTTTTCGAGTGATTTTAGTTGCTTAAGATGTAATTAATTATAGGGGCTTGCATCTATAAGAGAATCAATAACCCAAATAATCTAAATCTCATCTAATCTTCATATTGGGTAAGAGAATGATCTGTTGGAAATTTTGCAGACTAAATAAATATAAAAAATTTTTTAGTTTGAATAATTGAGATCATTATCGAGCGATATTCTCATTTTTCGAGATATGGTATTACTTGTAATATCATGTTCGATTATTCAAATTATTTAATATATTAGATCTGTCGATCTTATTTTTCAAAATTAAAAATGTCCTTTTTCAATATATATATATATATATGGTGTCGGCAACTCCAGCCAGCTCTGCTAGGGTTTCGCACGATGGCGATTCTCGACGGTGATTCCTCGATTTCTCACTTTCTCCCTCTCGCCTTTCGAGACAATGCTTTCACGCTCTCGCAGGCGTCCTCCTGTCGACAACGCTCGTCTCTGTATTGGACGACGTCTCACTTGCTCTTGACGACGCTCACTACTCTCGTACCCGACGACCCCGCAGTCGACGACTCGCGTTTTCTCACACCCGCAATCGATGGCTCTCGACCCTCGCCTCTCTCACCCGCAGTCGACGGCTCGCAGCTCTACTACCTCTAAAGTTTGCCCGCCTATTTCCAGCTGCCTGCCTAGCTGTTCTGGAGATGGCATCGATGTTCCGTTCATATGCCACTGCACTTGCCGACAACTTTCCTATTCCTACTTCATGTTCCTCTTTCAGATTCAGAGACTGATTTTCGTATATGTAAATCCTGCAATGTCCCACAATCATTTCACGAAGCTCTTGAAGGTGGTGGCGATCACACCTTCATTAAAATATTGGGAAAGAAATGAGAAGCCTGCTTATATTCTCACAGAGGTTGAAACCAACACTCTTGCATCCTCGTGGTGTTTTGCTCTTGTGGTACAATTTCTTTATGGTCACCCAAAACTTGAGATCATTTGAAAAGAATTTGATACTATGAAGCTGTTGGGCAGTTGGAATATTGATTTACTTGACGATCGACACATACTGATTCAGTTGTCTTACGACGCCTATTACACTCGCATTTTTTCTCGGAAAGTTATCAAGATCGACAACCGTTATATGAAAAATTTGAAGTGGACTATTGGTTTTGATCGAAAAGAGGAATCCCCTATCATTCCAGTTTGGATAAAGTTTTTGGGGTTAAAATTACATTTGTTCAACTTGAAAATTATCTACTCCTTAGCAACTGCTTATGCTAAGCCTCTCAAAGTTGATAGTCTTACGCTTGCTGTCACCAGACCCTTTGTGGCTTTGTGTTTGTTGAGAGGGATGTCAC